ATATATATATATATATATATATATATATAAATTAAAACGTTCTTCGGAAGCGGGTGACAGGACTTCACTTCCAGCCACCGACAGCTTCTTACGGACAACTTTTGAACAAATCACCCGCCAATTTCTAACTTTCCCCCTTTTAGCGCCGACACTCCTCAGCAACCGCTGCTTTCACACCTTGCCCTAACAATGTTTTTGTGTTTGTGTCGTGTTTTCCTATTTCAAGTGTCGTTGATTGTAACTTTTTTGCTTTTGCGTAATAATATTTGCTTCCCTATATTGGGTTTTGGGTTAACTCCGGTATAAATTACACAAAAGCTGATGCAATGACTAGGCAGAAAAGTTGAATCTCAATTATGCTGATATTGCTGAAGATATTTCACATATTGACAATTTGAATGATGGATTAAATTGGATAGATAACAAAAGAGACCACCATTCAGTTTATATCTGTCAGTATATGATGGTACCAATACCTGCCGTTGTAAAACTACCCTCCTTGTAAACCATATTGCCAGGAACATCCACATCAAACCTGCAGATAGCAGGAAAGAGTTATATTCTGGTTATTTATATGTGACATGAATACAACAACAACAACAAAGTCTGAATCCCACTACGTGGGGTCGGCTACATTAATCTTTTTTCTCCATTCCGACTAGTTTAGTGTCATATTTTCATTTAGTTCTAGTAAATTAAGATCATTTTTTATACAATAAGCCCAAGTCTTCCTAGGTCTACCTCTGTTTTTCTTAACACAAGTCAAATCTAAAACATCTACTCTCCTAATCGGATTCTACTCTACTCTCCTAATCGGATCATCAGATGGTCGAAGTTTAATGAAATGGGCTTATTCTATGTGACATGAATAAAAAAAAAATTAAGATTGATTAGAAACGATAGATCATAGCAACAGGAAATGGGAATTTTATTCACAGAGCATAAATGCGTCAGATCTGTATTTATATGCAAAATATACTCGTGAATGTTACAAATAGTTGACAGCAGTACAAGCTCTATACCTTCACACAATCAAAGCACACATACTTTGCAATAAGAGGTAAGAGTAACAACAGTTAGCAGGTTAAAAAAATTTAACTTTGCAAAAGCTAGTCAAAATATATACAACAAATTTACTATATATCGAGGTTCAGTTAGATGGGCTTCATTTAATATAAAGATTTGAGAATAGAAGCCTGAATTCAAAATTAGTTAGATGGGCTTCATTTAAAAATAAAGATTTGAGAATAGAAGCCTGAATTCAAAATTAGTTCAATAATATAGTATATACAACAACAACAAGAAGCCTTTATCACACCAAGTGGGGTCGGCTACATGATCCTTTTTCTCCATTGTGCCCTAACGAGTGTCATATTTTCACTTAATTCTATAAATTAAGATAACTTTTATACAACATGACAAGGTCTTTTTAGGCCTACCTCTACGTTTCATAACATAAGTCGAATCTAGAACATCTCTCCTAACTGGACCATCCGATGGTCGAAGTTTAATGTGACTAAACCATCTAAGATGACTCTATATAATCTTGTCTGCCACTAGAGCTACACCTATCCTTTGATGGATATATTTGTTTCGCATTTTGTTTCTCAGTTTAATTTCACTCATCCACCTAATCATCCTCATCTCAGCAACACTTAACTTAGTTTTATGCTACTTTTTAATTGGCCAACATTTTGCGTCATAAAGCATTGCATATCTCACCATCATCTTATAAAATTTTCCTGTCAGGCCTAAGAAGTACTTTTTTATCACATAATAGGTTTGATGCATTCCTCCACTTCAACCATCCAACTTGAGTTAGATTAATAACAACCCCATCTATATCACCAGCACTTTGAACAATAGACCCAAGATATCTAAAATGTTCATTCCATTTAATGATTTGGTCACCATTGTTACAACTCTATCAACTACTATTACTAAAATTATATTCCTTATATTCAGTTTAGATATACTCAAACAAAGGCCTTTAGACTCTAAAGTAGACCTCCATAATTCAAAATTTTCTTAAACACTTTATCTAGTCTTATCCACAAGAAGGATTTCATCAGCGAAAAGCATATACGGGGGTACAACTTCCTATAAATGTCCAGTAAGAGCATCCATAACTAAAGCAAAAAGACATGGGCTTAAACCTAATCCCTGATCTAATCCAACTGAAATAGAAAAATACATCGTCAATCCTCCTATCCAAACACAAAGTAACAGCTTTAGTATGCATATATTTAATGACTTGAATAAAAGTCATATCAACACTTTTCTTTTCTAGAAATCTCCAAAGAACTTCTCTTGGAACCTTATTGTAAACTTTTCTAAATCAATAAAAATCATATGTACATCCACCTTACTCTCTCTATACTTCTCCATCAAATCTCAATAATGTATAGGTTCCATAGTAGAATTGTCTAGCATAAATTCAAATTGATTATGAGAAATCTTTGTATCGATTCTTAACCTATGTTCAATTACTCTCTCATTATTTTATTGTATGACACATTAACTTAATTTCTCTATAATTTGTGTACTCTTGTGCGTCCTCTTTATTCATAAAAATGGGGACCAAAAAACTCTCTCTTTTTAGTTTTAAAAATAATATTAAAAATTTTAGAAAGCTAAGAAATTCTCATATCTCTTAAATATTTCCATACTTCTACTCGAATACCATCAGGTCCTACTAATTTTGAGGCTTCATTAATTACAAGAAATAATGACACACTTGAACATAGTACAATCAAATGAGATATTCCACATAAATTTCACTACCTAAAATTTTTTCCAAGATTTTATGAGATTAAGAAAAAAAATTAAAAATCAATGTTTTTTTTATTTTCAAGAATCTTGTTTCTCCTAAATACATTGGATTTTATTTTAGAGGCAACAACACTGTGATGTACATTTACGAAAAACACATAAAACATATTTAAGATCAAAAGGAATTTGATTTACAACTCCAAGTCCAACCTCACATAAGATTATTTCAAGCAAGCTGGCTAAATTTACATCAGGATTTAAAATTATATGCTCGACTATTGAAGCAATTTCTATCAGTGAGACAATGCCTAAGACTCAAAATCAATATATTGCACAAATAAAAAGTAATATACTAATAGCATAGTATGAAGTAAAAAGTGATAAATTAACATCCTCATAACAAATTCAGAAGTGCCATAGAGACAATAAAGTAAGATAATATAGTCACACATCTCATGGCAAAAAATTCCCCCGAGAGAAGCTTGGCATGTGTGAGACATGTAGGTGAGGGAGAGAATAAACTAAAAATAGAGGTTTCACTCAACATACTTTATTTCTATTGGTTTTCTAAAAAAATAAAATACTTATTAAATGATATGAGGCGCCTCATAAATATTGAGAGGGAGGGCATCCTCACATGTGACGCCACAAGGTGCAAGCCTCATGGTGAAAAAGCGATGAGGCATGTCATGTATTACAAAATTTTAAACCACAGGTTACATGAAAATTCTCTCTTTGCCAATAGGATGATCAAACCAAAATCCAACGAAAGATTTATTGAGATTAAACATCATGACTCCGGTTGATAAAAGTGTTAGTGGCCTCAAACATAATCATTATAATTTGATAATGGCTAGGCCAGCCTTCCTAGCTAAGGTTAATTGAGTTGCAAAATGAGTGTATAAGTAGTAAAATGATGCCTTACAAATGTATCTTTCGGTAAGTGTTTCTAATGTTCCCAGCATCATCCACTAAAACATGTGTATTATGTTGGTGAGCATCATCAGGTCCTTTCTCCTGAAAGCCACCAAGTGATAGCCAAATATTTGATTCCCTGTCATCATCATAAGAAAAATTAGACTAACATAATAGTAAAACAGCTAGATGGAAAAAAAAATGAAGGATTCTTGTAGAAAATGCAAAAATGTCTCTTTTGGCTCTTCTCATACAACCTTTATGTATCCTTTTCTAATTCAGTAAAATTAGCCCCTGGGCTTTTTAGGGTTTAGGGTTTATATCAATGAGCTCCAGTTTATTATGCAGCTTAGAAAACTGTTGTGAACTCAAAGACGTAAATATATCAAATAATTGTTCTGACTAGGACACATAAAGAATAACAATATTCTTTGATAACAGTGCAATCTAAATTAAATGATCATCAATCTCAACGCATTTATTCTTAATAGAACATGGAATTATTAGCAATGTGCATAGCAGCGCGATCACAAAATTCAAAACTATGGGTATTTCAATTGGAAAGTCAACTTCTCACAAGTGAATTTTAGCCATCATCTCACAAATAGTGTCATGGATTCATATTATGCTTTAAAACTTGATCTAACCCATTTTTTGTTTCTTATACTTCCATGAGACCAAGTTGCCAATCACAAAAAGTTAATACAAAGATTTAAACTTTCTATCATCAACTAATCTAGCAGAATCAACATCAGAGAAAGTTTCCATATTGTGATATCCATTGTTCGTGTATGATAGTTCTTTTAGTTGTGATTTACTAATATTTTATAGATATGTATAATAGCATCTTTATGTTTCTATTTAGGAGTTTGCATATGTTAATTTAAAACCTTATAATAAAGAAATAATAGATCTCGAGACAACAAAATAGATCAATTTTCCAACCAACAACTAAAAATGAAAAAGAGATTCTAACATTTTTTCTTTATTTGCAACATTGTAAGTGTGAATGGAAATGTCAACATGTTTACAACCTAACAATCTAGTTTTTGCAAAAAGTTCAATGGCATATATCTTTGAGCCAACTAAGAATTTAGAACTAGTATTTAAATTTGTACATTTAAAGGCATGCCTTAGCATTATTTGAGAAAAAAGGAGGTGTACATCTCATGTCTGCTAAAAGAGTGTACACCTCTATGGGGGTGAGGCACACTTGTGCTATTTTGAGGAGACTTGGCCTCAAAAAATAGGGTCATTTAAAAATTTTAATTCATAAACCTAATATATAAAATTAAACATACTGGCTATTTTGTCATTTACATAAACATAAACCAAATAAAGCATAACTGCTCAACCTCAAGACTCACAAACCAAGCTGCAAGTTGTAGAAACCTTCACAAATTTTAATTCACAAACCTAATATATAGAATTAAACATATTGGCTATTTTGTCATTTATTTAGACATAAACCAAATAAAGCATAACTGCTCAACCTCAAGCCTCACAAACCAAGCTGCAAGTTGTAGGAACACTCACAATCAGACACCTAACCTTACCACTAAACTTCCCCCCATTGCTATCTCGTCAATGCGCCGTTGTTGTTGTTGCAACACACTGCCGCAATACCATAGCTACCATAACACCTCTACTCTTATTGTTTGGGGTCCCTCTCCTTTTTAATTCTCTGCATTATGCTTATTTATTTTATTTATTTGTTGTTTTTTTTATCATTTGTATTTCTTATTATCTGTTTTGAATGAAGTCCCTATTTTGAATGAACTACACAATATATGGTAATTTTCAAATGGATACAAATTCTGAGAAGAACTTAATGGGAAATAGAAAAGTCGTACCGTTAAAGCAAAATAGGGACTTCATTTATTTTGAAGTGCAATTGTGAAGAGTGAGAAGTCTTACATTTATTTTAAATACAACTATCGTGATAAAGTAATTAAAAGTATTGTGACTAAGACCAAAAAAATTCTTCTTGATTCTCAAGAAAAGTAGCATCATGTACCAAACTACTTCGAGTGAAAGGAGAGATTTGTACATATATTTGTTCATACAAAGAAAAGAAATTGCATGACTTCCTTGAAGATAAACTAATTGAATTATTTTATGCACAACGGGAGATTAAAAAGAAGAACATTCGATGAATATAGTTTTGAAGGATGATGAAAATCCATCATTGAGTAATGTTGTGCCATCATATGACAAATGGTTAGTGGAAGTTGAAAATAAAGTTATACCACCATCACAATTACAAGAGGAATATCTCAATGTTAAATTCTTTGATGAAGGAACTAAACCAACACAAATCAACATGGACGTAATAAAATTTATGTCATATAAATTAATCAAAAATATAACCACTATTTTATAATTTAATTAATGTTCTAATTGATTTATATAAACAAAAAAAAGAGGAAGATAAATGAAATTGAAGATGAAAAAAAAATTAAAAAATGTTAACAATACTGAGGATAAGAGATGAGAGATGAGAGATGAGAGATGAGATGAGAGAAAGTAATTAACTATAACAAAAAATTCACCGAAGACCATCTACATGATGAGAGGCGTGAAACTTTTGAATTCATAATGATCAAAAAAAAAAATTATTTTAACATGACAGTGGAAGACACTTTTTATTTAGTGCTTGTAATCTTCTATAACTTTTAATGATTTTACTTTTGACTCTAATGATTTCAGTTTCATTATAGGAAAGCTTGGATTTACTCGCCTAAACTTTTTTCGACCGATAAATTTGTGGTTGATTCTACGGATGAATACCTAATGAGATTGTTGTTGATATTGTGACTAAAATTTTAGTCACAAATACTTACTGGCAGACTAGCGGTTGAATTTTCAGTCTATAAAAGAACTCACTTAAATGCGACTGATTTAGCAGTTGAATTAAGTCAAGAAAAATTATAGGCTGATAGTTCAATCGGTAATCGACCGCAAAGTCTAATTAAATCCAAACCAACAGCCCGAAACCCTAAATTCTCCCATTTAGCCTCTCTGTTCTCCCTCAGCTTCGGTGTTCTCCCAAACCTGTTTCCCTCCGTGATGACAGTTCTTGGTGGCGCTCAGCATAAACTCAGTGGTGCTCGGTGGCAGCTTGGTTCCTACTCTAGGTAACGAGCTAAGGTACACTGAACTGATGCCTTTATGGGTGGTCAGTTAGGATTTTCTAGTGAAATTCAATGTTTGAGCTTAGGGTTCAGTTTTGTAAATAGCAATGTTCTAAGTGCTATGTATGTAATTTCAATTTTCACATAGGATGTTCAAATAGCCAGCACCTTTAATTTGATTTTGAATGAAATATGATGCATTTAGTTTTATAAATAGCAAACTTCCTATGTTTTTTTATATCTATAACATAAACATTAATTCTGACATATACAAACCACCTTAAGTATGTATGAAAAGTTGTATTTTAATTTTAAAAATATTAGGGTGGTGGTATTTTTAATGTGATATTAAATATTTGAGTATGATATAAATTTTAAAAAATAGACTTATGTGTTAGATATGTAAATACACGAGAATTGCATGGTATGTATGTAAATGTCTCATTTCTCATAGAAAATTTCATACACTCAAGCAGTACTTTAATTTGGTCATTAGCTAGCTAGTGAGAGACTACACATCTTAGGATAACCTACAAAACATCTCAAGATGGTGTCCCAAGATCTTCCTAGATTATAGAAAAGTCGGATCATAAGAGCTTGATCTTGGTAATTTGTTAACTTATTAAGGAAGCTCATGAGGCACTTATCGAGCCGAGCATGAGTTGGCTGATGAGTAAGCTTGGCTCATGAATCACTTTGATTACAGTTATACATGAAAATTTATATTTAACTTCTAAATATAAAAATGTGATACATTTGATCAGATATGAAAATATTTGATGTTACTTGTGTATTTACCTATCTAAGATGTCACCTTCAATTGTTACGTCTATACTTATGTATAAAACATTTTATTTAATGATGTGTTTATCCTTATACATGTAGGGAGTCAATATATATTCAAAATTTAAGATCATGAAGGTATAATAGATTGTAGTCAAAAAGAAAATGACTCACTAAAGATTTTATAAATGGTGTTGAAAGTGTTGTGTTAGCAGCATCACAACTTCATAATTACCTTTCAAAGGGTAAGTTTTGATGCACCTATTCAAAGCCAAGGATCAAATCTTTCTAACACCAGATGAAGTCAAGTTGGATTTGTATGAAAGAGAATGTTAACTCAATTACTGGTATTGGACTGAACATGGACAGTATGAACTACCTGTTGAATATGATCAGGCTGATGCTTCATCAAGCTCTGTCCCTACAAGTGAATATGATCCTACCAGATTTGATGAAATGGTATTTGATGCGACCAATGATCGTTTTAATGAGCAAGTGGGATGCCGCACAACAATAAAACAGCAAAACCCAAAAATTCTTTGAATTATTGAATGTCGCACAACAACCGTTGTGGGTGGGTTACACCACACACTCTTAGCTATTAGTGACTCTTAGGATATTAAGTGTTAAATCAGGCTATAATATGCCTAGAGAATGTTTTAACTAGATTGTAGGGCTATTGAAGAGGCAGACCTAAAGAAAAAATCAATATCATAGAACATCTATAGAACAAAGAAATTGGTGTCGAAGTTAGGGCTGACATCAGCATGTTGTACCATCGGGTTGACGCAATTGAGACAATGTCAGTTTTCTGGTACTAAAAGATTCAAACTGTTGTTGAACTCATTTTTAGTGAGGTCTTAGTCTCCTACTCTTAGAACCTAGGATCTAGCTTTATGAGTTCTTATTGACTATCCTAGCGGACTAGCAATGGAGCCTACCTCTCGTAGAACTTCAAGCCACTTCTTGACTCATTTTTGTGAAGAACTCGCATGAGTGGTTCCAAGCACTCAACTTCTAGCTGCAAGGGCTAAGGACCAACATGTAGAGGGCCCGAAAATGAGTTCTTATAGGATCAAACGTCCTTAGGTGAACCCTTTGTGACTCGATTATTCACGAACGCCGCAATTCACACACTCACTGCACCACAAACGATTTTGGCTTAAATTGACTCGCCCGCCGGCAAACTCGTCCGAACGACCCCGGATGACAAAACAGACCG